AATGCAGAGTTGCATGGTCCCTGACCTGAGCAAGCTTTCCTTTGTACAGTGACGGTGAGGGATACATTTGCAATTCTAGCGTCTTTCTTTCGCAGTTCTGTTTTGCAAGACCCATTGTCCAAACATGGGCCATCGTTGCCCGCTCTGTCAGTAACCATCGGCACGTGTGGATGGGTTCCACGGTCTGATGTGCCTTGAGGAAGCACCAAGAAATTTGTGCGGGGCTTGGCTGTCTAAACCGTGGGCGCGCCTTTGCATGCCAAATTCGTAATTAATCGCACGCCGCTAGTCAGAGGCAGAGCCTTCGGCGTACGCAGAAAGAAAAGGTGGTCGACGCATTTGCTCTCGGTCTATAGGAACGCAAATTGGTTCTCCTTCCTTTCATAACACCAGTATAGAGTCCTGAGCTGTAACTGAGCCCCTACTGGCTTACAGTGTAAATTAGGCATAGAGGACAAAGGGATACTGTACCCTTCAATGTGCAGTTGTGCTCGTTTTACGTGTTGATGCAATCTTCTTGGAGCGATTCTATCCACATTGGTAACAACCCAAGGATGTTGTGCTTGTTCGAAGCCATCCCAAATCTTTGGCCACATAATCTGCAAATGCTGAATCAAACTATGTTCTCCCGGATCTCCCATGTTCAATTGTATATACAGTATGTTTATCTACTCTGGCAGTTTAACAGGAGTGTTACAATATCTCAGTTGCAAAGATTTGCACTCATGGATACAAGTTTCAAGAGGATGTCAAAACTGTGAATCAATGCCAATGCTTCCCTGGGGATCTGTGTTGTCTCTGAGGAGGTGATTCGAGAATACCCTTCTCACAAGATGATTGGGACAGAAATGCCTCAGCACCCTCGAGGGGATGTCGGAAAGCCTATGTACGTGCTGGTGAGGTTCTGGCAGGGCTCCTGTGATGCCCTGTCCCAACTCCTTGCTCAAAGGCTGGTGGTGCAGGTGACACGATGTGGATTTTTCACATTAGGGTATATGAATCCCATAGTCTTCCACAATCATGCACCATTCACCAGTGCATCGCTCATGAGCAAGCTAGGTAGCCATGGCCAGACATCAATTTCACCACGAAACAACTTTCGGCACCTCCTGCAAAGCCATGGGGCTTCTGCGGATGAGTGTGCTTAGAGGTGCGCCCACCTTGCTGTTTGCTATAGTCAGGATTGGTGAGCCCATGTGATATCATTTTGATTGTATTAGTGGATGCATGGCCCAATACTTTTTTAGTGGCTATCCTCACATGCACGAACACGCCTGCATACCCTGTGACCTTGTGTGGCGCGCGCCACTTTTCCGAGCTCGTGCTGGCTCTGGTGTTGTGTGTCCCAGTCCTTGGCAGCCATGAGACGCCAAGTGGTGACTGTGGAAGAGAATATGAAGGGGGATGAGTTGGTGGTAGAAAAACCTATGAAATTCAAAGTGTCAGCTCCTTGTATTGATTGGAGTGAGGCATAATTGACACTTATTAATATATAATATAGTGGATTGCATCATGCATTGCGCATTGCACCTTATATACCTCATCGCATATGGGGGTCAACTGAGGCTGTGGGCCGAGAGATCTTTGATGCCCTGAACAAGTTCGGAACCAAATGGGGGCCCAGCATCATGTCTTCTGATGACAGGGCCCTGACAATTTGGGAAGCAAGGGACCGAGATGTCGTTATGGAGGCTGACCTTGAATCCAACTTTAGTATCCTTAAAGAAGTTTGCCTGGGATGCGGAGAACAGTCACTTCGTCGAGTGGGAGAACCTGGCATGAAGGAGATCCCAGTTTTGGCTGATTTTGAGGCTGGTCCAAGGTTTATTGAACTCCTTCATGGCATGCTTGCATTTCAACCAGGGCCACGTATCTAGTGTACACAGTTCACATGCATGAAGTTGATATGAAGCATCAATATACATGTGCCCCTGGAGTTTGTATGTAGAATGTGTACCTGCTTCCAATCCCCAGCCTCCACTATGGAACTGAAATATTATTGTTTTTTTCTGGTATGCTTCACCAATCCTGTGGAGGCTGCGCTGCTTTTGCTATCTCTCCGTTCCAATTTCCACTGTCAGTGGCACCATCGACGAGGTGGGAAAGGATATATTCGAGAGACTTGGATCAAAAAAGTTTGCAGCTGCAGGTATGACTAGCTAATTGACGATATGCATATGTATAAAGAGATAGATAGCCCAATGGCCACATGTCACAGATGTTTCTTGCAACCATTTTTTTTAGTCGTGTTCAATTTCTCATTTCTACCCAGACTTGGGCTGCTGGTGAAGCCCACAAGATCCGCCAAATGCTTACACATCTCAGAGATCTGACCAACCGTGCACGAGAGAGCAGGAGCAAATCTTGCAACAAATTTGTATACTGATGATCACTAGTGTGTGTGCTTATGCATCTGATTCAGGGGATTTTTGGCTTTGTAGGAGTGAGAAGGTGTCTGTCTTGAAGAACATCCTCACAAAATTCAGAAAGCTCCGTGATGAGAAGGTTGGGTGGTGTGTGTACATGTGAAATTAATGTTCTTTCAAACCTCAAGCAAGTATGCCAAGTTTTGTTTATGTTCTTTTCGTGTAGTCCTATTAATGTTCAGGCCCGAGGACGGGACTTTGCCATTGAGCCGCCTGTTGATCTTGGTGAGGACTTCCCACTCTCTATTGATTTGCAATGATGCTCAATGCAGCTTATATATATATATGTATATGTAATGTAGTTGGGAAAGCAGCCCCAAACGAGCATGTTTTTCTTGATGTTGATCCATGTACAATTATATAGGCATTGATGATGCTCCTGCAGGATTTGCAGCCATTGGATGTGGAGTTCGATGATGAGCCCATCATTGTTGCTGTGATTGGGGACCCGGGAAAGTTGGTGAAGGCAGAGTCTCATGAGGATGATGATGTGCTGGTAACTATGGATGGAATCGAACAGGAGACATCCTATCATGCATTTTTGGCCAGTCCATCATATTTGACATTCGTCGGCTGTGTTTTCACATATATAAGAAACAATCGGTGGTTGAATGTGGTTGAGGATGGGACTATGAGCTACTTGTCCAACGAGGAGGATGAGGTCAACCCTGGACCAGGTGCTGTTGCTGTTCAAGGTGCTGTGGAACCTGGGATGGCTGCTGTGGAACCTGGGATGGGTGCTGTGGAACCTGGGATGGGTGCTCTGGAACCTGGGGTGGGTTCTGTGGAACCTGGGATGGGTGCTGTGGAACCTGGGGTGGGTTCTGTGGAACCTGGGGTGGGTTCCATGGAACCTGGGGTGGGTTCTGTGGCACGTGTGGAAGATGCTCCCGTCCTTGAGCCGCTCAAGAAAAAGGAGAAGATAGAGAAAACCGCATTGATTGCCAGCCCACCTGAGTTGCCTGATGAACTGTTGAAAAAAAGCCATGGAAGCAGTTGAAATGGCTAGGAGTGGTGGGGCTCTTGCTTTGAGCACGGATGATCAAAGGTTACTCAAAAAGAAATTAGATGCTGATGCCAAGCAAGAAGCTGAGAAAAAAAAAACAGGATGCACAGAACAAGAAGCAGGAAGCTGCAGCCAAAGCACTGGCAAAGGCTCAGCAAAAGTTGCTGAAAGCACAAGAGAAGGCAGACAAGCTGCAAACCAAACCAGCAAAACGGAAGTTGGATGCTGACTTGTATGCAGTTGCTGAGCCTGGCCATTCTGGGCCACCTCCCAGCCCACCGAAGCCCCAGCCCAAGAGGAGAGCAGGCAGGAAGGTAAAGGCCTCATCCCCCGACAACAAGTCAGCTGTGATCCTTTCACCCAAGGCCAGGGAATTTGCGAAGGGGTCTGGGAATGCTTTGAAGGAACAGGAAGCAAGGCAGTCTAGGACTGTTGCCTCTTTGAATTTGCTTCGGGAGCTAAAACTTCCCTACCTGACTCTTCCCTCTGAGACATTCTCGAAGAAGAAACTTGGGTGCATTAAATGATCAATATATGGGAATTCTGTGTGAACTCTGAACTAATCATGCAAGGGAATATGTGAAAACATGTGCCCTAAGGAGCTTCACCCTCAAAGACCCCAATGCAGAGGGTAGTGGCATTGGTGTCGTTCTCTACCAAAAGGCGTTCTTTGTTTCGAAAGCCAATGCCCAACGAGCTGTGGATCTTTTGCACCGTGAGCCATATCCAACTGGTGGCATCACGATTGGTTGGGAACAGGAGGGTGCTTGCCGAGCGTTCACCTGTCCTGTTTGAACTTTTGAACTTTGCATGCATGTGTGAACTCAGGTTATTACAATTGTGTTTTTTCGATGTCTACTGTAAAAATCTATGCTCATGCCTCCCCGGGCCAGGTGGTTGATTGCCCGCAAGATTGCTATGTGGGACAAGTGTATTGGTGAGGATGAAGCATCTAAGCCTTAGATTCAGCTCAGCCTAATTTATGGTCTGGGCTGCTCAGTGGCTTGCGCACAGTGTTGGGTTTTGGGGCCTTGAGATATCACAAATACAATTTAGATTCATTTGAAGCTCATGTGTTTTGGACAACTGCTGCATGTTTTTTTTAACACCGCTTATTGCCACATTGCCCATTTTGACACTGTGGTTGAGGGCCATGTATTGACTTTTTCGTTTGGTTGATGTTCTGCACAAGCCCAACATGTGTGTAATTGAGCTTTTTTTGGCCATGGTGATATATATATATATACACATGTTGTGTGGGTTTTCACGATCTAGGATAGTGAAGCTGGGAGAGTGCAGATTGATAAGATCATTACTGCAAAATTAGCGTATAGAAGGGTCATTCGTTCTGTCCTGTGAGAAAAACGGGAGCAAAGGCCTGTCGTGCAGAACTGCTTCAAAGCATGCGCATAACACATATGAATGAATAGAGGTTTGACATTACATTTATACACGTTAACTATACTGGATAAAATATGATCAAAGTGTTTCCAAATTTTTCCTCCCAGTGAGTGTTCAGGGCAAGTTTCGTTGAGATCGGCCACGCAGGTTCAGCCAGCTCATCGAGTTCAAGCAGGGGCCTGGTGGAGTTGGAAGGCTTGTGTGGGCTCGTGGGGGTCAGCCTGGGATTGGACAGCTTCAGGAACAATAATGCATCTAGTAATCTGTGTTGCAAATCCCATTCATGAATCAATGTTATAATATATTGTATCTAGGTCATAACATTGCTGGACTTCATGTGCCCATTCTGATATATTGTACATAATCTTGCACGGCCCTCATGACATAATATATCCATCCGTGTCCATTCATTTCAACACCTGACCCCAGTACTCACCATCCAGGTCGGACTTCTGATCATTGTGGTCGTGGTGGAGGTGCCACTGGGACCCACTCAATTCACCTGTGGTGGTTCTTCATGGCACGGATTTGCATTCATGAATGCTAGATGCCAGCAGAGCCAGCCGTGTCCATAAGCTTTTGTTGGTGCTATTTCAGGCCCAAACCTGATTGATGCAAGAAACTTGAGAAACATCCTGACAACTTGTATGAGATGTTTAACTATCGCAACCGCAGCTCCCTTTGATTCAGCAATGGCTCCCAAATCTTTGCACATTTCGAAGCTGCAGTGTGCTGTCTTGCTATGCTTGGGGGGCACCTCCGGTGTTGAGTTTTGACAGCATTGGTCATCAGAATGTGTGCCATGCATGTTCTCCACCCCTGGGGCTCCTGACCAGTCCCAATCGCTCAGGATACACCTTCTTGACTTTGTTGCCCAAACGTCGGCTTCCTGCCGGGACCAGGGCTTTGGAGTGTGTGTGGGGTTGAGGTTGGGGAGGCATGGGAAGTCTAGCCCTATTCCATTCATATCCCATATGTGGTGTAGAAAAAACATGCACAAACTTGCCAGGCTGTTGAATACCATATGGGGCTCTTGAGGCTCTTGAATGAGGAAGTCTCCTTTGTTAGGGGGTGGGGGGGGTATCATGCATGTGCCACTCTCGTGCAGGATTTGGAGTGCTGTGAATTCTTTTGCGGAGTAGGCTCAATCGTGTCTGGATTCCGTGCCTGGGAAATTGGATTCCAAAAAGTTTTCCTGTTACGTTATATGATGAGTTCAGTTCATGTGCCAATATGTTCCTCGTGTCTAATGCACCAAACAAGTTAAGGTGCAGCCGGAGCTTCATCGCACCCTAGCAGCTATGAGGCATTTTCTATAAATATGATATTATGTATATATTGTTTCCCAATCCCACGGTTTTCAGGGGTGCCTCTGCATGCCTTCACAGTCTTCCATACCTGCTGCAGGCAAGGGTTCGACCTATCCAAAGATGATGTCCTGCAAGACGTCACATTACGCTTCGGGTTCTTGCAGGCTTTGCACTACATCCTCAGGGTCCGAGTTAAAGGTCTGGCCTGGTTAGCTTTACCATGCAACAGTTTTGGATGGATGGCTTTTGCGCAGCACCAGAGAAGCTGGCAGATGCCCTATGGGAGTCCATTCTATGCCTGGGTCTTGCAGGGAAACATTATATGCTCCAGGACTTGCCTACTAGTCTTGGTAGCAATTGCAAGGTCGGTTACTTTTTTTCATTGAAAACCCGCTGAGATCATCTGTGCACACCTGGCCATACATCAACTACTTGATGGCCAACACTTGGTTGAACTCAAGAAGGAGCTCATGGTAAGAACCTGAGTTCTATGAAAATTGCACTAGAAGTTGACTATACATACTGTTTGTGGTTCTAGGTTAGTGCCCACGAAGTAGCATCCTGATGCTCAAAACATATATAGGTACCTATATAGCTGCTCCTCAGGCTGATGGGTTACTACGGAGGTTGGTCAGTCAAACCGCAATTGGGGCTCTCCAACGCGAATCTTTGGCTTTGTGCTGAGTACCTTTCAAGATTTCACTGGATCGTTTTTCAACAACATGCACCCCCCAAAATACCTACAGATCCATCAACCCAGCTCACCTAGCCTACCCGCAGAGCCTTGCTCGTGTTCAGGATTTGGGCTGGGTACCTGAACCAGCCGATGTCGAAGGACCAAAGGAGAGTACTGAAATCAAAGGCCGCATCCATGGGGAAGGAAATGGTGAAGGTGACCATCAACAAGGATGGCACCAAAAAAAGTAGTGACGAAACCTCAGTTGCTGCTTTCTCAACAGACGACTAGGGCACATATCCATTATAGAATTCTTGAAAGCTTTACATTAAATCCGTGGGTGCAACTGTTGTTTATGAACACTGGGCCCTAGGAGTGGGGGCAAGGATCTTAAATCGTCTCAAGAATACCCTCGTGACTTTGGTCTCGCAGTGGCCAAAAGTCATTTGGACTATATGCAATCCGATCCTTGGTTTTTTGATTTTGTGCAGCTGACCTGGTTCTTCGGATGCTTATGTCACAAGGTTCAAAACTCGGTGTTGGGTGCATTTGATATGGCAAGCCTTATAGGACTTGAAGAAAACATAAAACAAAAGAAACTCTCCACTGGCAATTTTCCTCTTGGGTTGGCCAAGGACGGGGCCATGATGCAAGAAATGCGTGCCCCAAACCAGTGTTCATCTGGGCCCTTAACACCGATTTGGGGCCCGCATTTCTTGCATCATGGCCCCGTCCTTGGCCAACCCAAGAGGAAAATTGCCACTCTCCACACTTCCACAGAAGAGTCTGAGAGCTTTCCTATGATGTCCTCTCAACCTGTGTGGTTGTGCTTTTTCGGAGCTGTGCTGCCTCCCAAGGACACTCCTATCCCTGATCTATTCAAATTCCTGGAGTCGATTGGATACCAGGAGACCTGAGGGGGGACAGGCTGCCAACTGACCCTGTTCTGGAGCTTTTAGCTGGTTAGCACAGTGGTTAGCCAGGTCAAAGCTCCAGATGCCCAGTACAAGGACTTCCTCTAGTATTCAGCTATACAAAATGAAGCTACACATCTCCCATTTACAATTCACTGATCGCTCACAGTTCTCACTACATTGTCACTACATCTATGCATCACATGTGTCCAGGTGTATTCTAATGTTACCCAGTGTCTATGCCCAACAAGTTTCCAAGGGCTAGACTAACCAACAAGACATGCCCAGCCCAGCCCTCTTGATGCCCTGGAACCAGCCTGATCGTCAAAGGAGCCACCACTGGGCTGCTGGGCCTATGCGGATCTCTCCCCATACTTGGAGTTCGTGAACGGTGCCATTGAGTCTGGGAAGTTGAGACCAGATCCGTTGGTTCCTGTCCAGCTAGAGCCTTGTGAGATGGTTGCAGAGTGTGCTAGGCAAAGGGCTTTGTCCTTGTAAAAGAACCAGTACAGCTTGGGCCTTAATTCATGACAGTTTTGTGGGTGTGCTTGGGTAAACCTGCAGGTATATATACTTTGTTCATTGTTGATATCCATTTTCGGACTATATAAAGCACTCTTGCTGTTGTGGATGGGTTTGCCCAAGACTTCCTGCGTGATCAAAACTGCAATAATGATTGCAACATATATTGCAACTTCATCCTATGTGCGCTCCAGTTTGGAACTATATGTATATGGACTGGTGAAAATATTGCTTTTCCTGCCTTGCCAAACTACATGTGTGGGTTGTGCACCAAGACCGCTAGCTTGATTGTACATGGAAGACATGTGCATGGTGGATTGACTTGAATTGATGGGTTGTAGCTATTTTGGATTTCAATTTGGTGTACCTGGGCTGCCTGAGCTGGCATTGGGGAAATTGATCCGTACAGGACTGCTGGGTGAAAATACAATTTTGATAGCTGATCAGGGTATCCAAGCTGTCGAAGCCCCCTGTACAGATGCTCAGCTGTCGGAACTCTTGAGCAATCAACCTGTCGAGCCCTGGCCTGTTGAGCTCTCTGTCGGACCTGTCGGGGGACCATGCACACCATGGCCTGTCGGAGGGCTGTCGAGAAATCCATGCCTGTCGAAACCCCCTCTGGCTGCTGGCCCCTGTGATGTGGTTCTACTCTGTCGGACCTGTCGAGAACCATCAGCGTCGGAAACCACCAATGGAAGCTAGCTGTCGGACCATGTTGGCCTGCAGTAGTCGGACCATGGTCAGAACATGCAGTTGTCGGAACTGATCTGCGTTATGTCTGGATGACATATATCTGAAACCATGTGTTTTTGATCAAGTAAAAAAAAAAGGGCATGCGTTATTTTCGCGTTATTTTGCGTTACAATCACGTGCTCACGAGATTCTGAGCGTTATTTTGCGTTATTTTGCGTTATTTTTTCCCAGCCTGAGAAAAGTCTCGAAACCATACAGTTTTCCCTGGTGAGGACAATGTCGCTGTCGAAAGGAGTTCCAAAGTGTGCAAAGTCTAGAGCTTCACCCTCGTCACAGGTGGGGATGCCATTGGATCCAAGGTTGAACTTGAGCTTTGGACACTGTACTGTCTGTTCTGCGATATGTGGTTTAATATATTTACATAATACGCATGCATATATCATCATATATCCATACCCAGGGCCCATGTCTCCAGCTGGTTATCCAGCCTTGCCATCTTTGAGGTTTTGCGATCCCACTCCTCGATTGACAGCTTCGACTTCCAGAAGGAGATGGATTCAGTCAATGAAAGGTTTCGAAAGCTTCAGAGCGATGATGGTGGTACTTTGGTCTTTAAGTGGGTTTTGGCTTGTGAGGTTCCATCTCCAATCCTTCATCAATTGTTACGGATAATCTCCACTGCTTCATCCATGGTTGATGGATAATCTCCAATCCTTCATCAATGGTTGATAGATTAGTCTTCATGCATTATTTCACAAGTGTGATTGGTAAAGGCCGTGTGTTAAGCTTACCATATCATATCCACAGAAGGTGATTGGAGACGCTGTTGTGTAGCGAGGGTCCATGTACCTTCTGAGAATGTACCCTTAGATAGATCTGACCATTGATCTGCAGGTATGGGCAGTGGTGAATCGACGCCGCTCTCAATTTCGAAGAAGCAACCTCGTCCATCACCTGGTGACACTCGAAAGGGTTTGACCTTTACCCCTGTCAAAAGCCCTGAGATGAAGAAGGTCAAGGTTGAAGTGAAGGTGCCTGGGAGACTGATTACCGAGTCTTTGTTTTATGGTCATTAAACACCTATGAACATTTTGATGTATGGTGATCTTGGGGGTGATTTGCCGAACCCTGAGCTCCAGGTTCCCCCCACGTCCATCCTCACGGGTGCAACACACTTCACCTACATCGGCATGCAGTCGGTCAGTGGCCCCGAGTTTCTTGGCTTGGTGTGGGTCCCCCTGCAACATATGTATGTAGATTAAACCCTGTGTCAAAAAATGGTGCTACCAGTCCATCACTCAGGTGCAAAGCCAGGGTCGGGGGCCTACCGTAGCACTGACAGCTGCAGCACACTGGAATATCGAGCAGTGGATTCTTCAACTCCGAGCAAGACAGGTTATGGGGGATCCTTGTCGGACTACATGTCACAAACCCCTTGTATGGCGAAGCCTGCTGAAAGTTTGATGAAATGGGTTCAGGTCAGAGGACCCCATTTGGAAGCTTGCGATGCCAGTGGTTGTGAGGTCCAACTTACTCACATGTGGCACCTGATGAAAAATCGAGACCATCACAAGGAAGACATCTTGAAGCTGAAGCACCAATATGAACTTCGCCAACAGCAGGTGCTTAAGGTAAAACAGATTCAAACCAACAAGTATGGACCCGACCACCCCAAGATGTTGGAATTGGATGCATGGGCCACTGATAAGTTGAAAGTGGAATTGGCTAAGATTGCAGAAGTTGAGAAACACTTGGACAACGTTGAATCCAAGATTTCAATCTACGTGGAACAGGTGGTGGCAAAGTTTGAAAAACCAGACCCTGATCCAGACTGTGATGCACTGCTAGTCGAAGTTGAGAGCTTATTCTCAAACATGTCCCTTTCCGAGCAGACAAACCCTGAAACAAAAGAGTCTGTGGCTATGGATGCAACTTCTCATGCCCTGGAAAAAAGTCCAAGCTCTGCCGGATGGGCCCGAGAAGTCAGCTATGACTGCTGTTCTCCAAGCAGCAGTGCCATCACAGGTACGAGATTATTTCAAATTCTCATTGTATTTGAACAAGGTTGATTCATAATGCACTGAACCATGGCCCCTAAAGGTGGATGAGCCAATGACTTCCCCAGCCAGTGTTCCTGGGGCCTCTGCGAATTCCAAGATGTCCGACGCAGACCTGGCAGCAGGTATGTTTGCCAGGAAGGACACGACTCAATTGGAGGTTGGGGTGGTGGCCAAAAAAATGATTTCACATATTTATCTAGATGGACATATATATATATATACATAGATATGTAGGCTTCCTGGTTTTGACTGGGTCAAGCTGGTGAAAATATGTGTTTTGTCTTTAGGCTGAAGCAAGGCAGACATTGCACGAGAAGTGGGCCAATGATCCTGATGCCATCTTCGACCCGGATGGAAGCGTCCGGTTTGTGGGTCCAAAAGGACGCATTGAGGATGAAGAAGAACACCTGGCCCGTCTTGCCCACAATTGCAACATGCGCTTCCTGAGGTCATTCAAAAGTGGGGGGACTGCAAAACCTGTTCATGTTTGTTTAAGTACGTCTGTCTTAAGTTAAGTATATCTTTCAACCTCTGTCATTGTATCCCTGCAGGCCCCACGTGTCCACCAGCAGTCCTTGAGCTCTTCAACAAGAGAAAGACAGGTGTCTAATAAATATAAATATATATATACAGTTTGCTGTAAGTTTTTGTTTGTATATTGATGTAATTTTGTGTCCGGTTTCCTGTCAACTTATATAAACTTATAAGTTGATCCAATCCACTAAGATGCTGCCATCATTCCCCAGCTATTTGAAGACTTCATCCAGTCCTCGGAAAACTGGTTGACCTCGACGATTGTCATCAACCAGACCACCACTTCATCGGCTCGCCGAAGGGGCAAGCACACCATGCTCCCATTCCACGAAGTCAAGAAGAAGTTTGGGGTTGCTCTCGGAGAGAAGATTCTTCAAGATAAAAAAAACACTTGAGCAGAACAAGAAGCCAGGGGATGCCACCGTATACTACATGCCTCACCCTGATGCCCCAACCAACCTGGACACTCAGTTTCTCATACTAAGAGTTTTCAATTCACACGTGAATGGTGCGTTGCTTTAACGCATGAGTCAAGGTTACATTTCATAGGACAGACTCCATGCTCCTGCCCTTCCCTTTGGATTGTGTCTCCTTCTCACGCATTCTCAGGAATGGAGCCTGGTCCGAGTGTGGGATGCCATGGAATTTGAGGACGAGCACTGTGAAGCTACCTCGATTGGGTTAGAGGGACGTGGGGAGCTTGATGAGGCTCAGACCAGGTCTGTCCTGCAACCTGATCAAGGTATGAATCAATTTTTTAAAGATACTTACATGTTTGTTTGTTTAGGTATTTTTGATGTTTTTGGGGTGGGTCATATGTGATCCCATGACCCCTATATGTTTGTTCAATCATAATCCAAGAAGTTCGAAACACGTTTGTTGAAGTCAGTCTTGTATTTCAGGCAAGGTGCCATTGGTGGTCGTCTTGACCAGTTCAAAACATCCTTATATGGTGGTGGGTCTGGAGCTCCTCCTGGTGGTGATCATGACAACCAGAACAAAAAGGACAAGGTCAAACCCATGAGCCGGAAAATCTCAGCGTGCATCTCTACGTGCAGTACTAAAATGAATGAAGTTCTGGTATGGACGTCAAAGCTCCAGGAAAACAAGACTGGATTGAAACTTAGCTAGATTTATATACATATATATTATATATGTATGCTAGACTTTATTTGATGATGTTGCAGTCTTGGATGCATGTGTTTATAAATATAGAGCTCATGGACAGCCAAGAGATCTCTCAGGACGGAAGTGCTGGTCAATGGCTTTCGCAAAGAATTGGAAAGCAAATCCAATGATATCAAAGCCTCTCGTGTGGAGCTGGAACGTCTGTATGCTCTGAGGGTTGAGGATAATAAGATTGATGATGCAGCCAATGTGATGTTTAAGGAGGAATGTATGAAGGCTCTCCGGGGAGCTGATGCAAACTTCACCAATTTGGCTGGGTCAATTCGAAGCATCAAGTCCGTGATTGAACACCTAGCTTTGCTTAGCTGCTGTATCCTTTTTGATACCTCTTTGTAGATCTTTTAACCTTTTTATGTGCACATGGTTCACTCAGGGTTTTGACATAGATCAACCCAGGAGCCACCCAAGCCCAAGAGCAAGGCCAAAGCGAAGTCTCAACCTGCCCCAAACCCCTTGCCTGCGCCACCGGGTGAAGGGGAGTCCTGATCATGAGATCGTACAGCAAAAAGGGGTTTCTTGAAGCCCAGGGACTCTGTGTGTTATTGATCAACGATGGACATGTCTGAATTGATTGACTAACCCTCTCATCTTGTTCAAATGTTGAATGCTTTGGACCAGTTCCCATTGGCTTCAATGAGCGATCATCAATGCTGGGAAAACCTAGCAAGTAGGTATTGGGGAACATGGCTATAGACCCCCTTTTTTAGGAGGCTGGCTGTGTTTTGATTTTGCGCTGGCAGTGGATGAAAAGCTTGTGTGTGAGCTTTATGCACCAGCTGGTTGAGCTGTCCTCAGTGGTATCCTGCAAGATGAGTCTTCTCTGCTTCGATATCTAATCCAAATGACTAGATCCCAGAAGCAATAATCTAGATTGCATCTGTCCTAATATTCAGTCAAACCAAGCTTGCTGTGCTGATATCACTTGATATCAGCCGACCATGTTTTTTTTGGAATGTGTGTGCATGCAGGTGCTTCAATCTCGACTGCAAAGACTTCTCCGCTCTATTCATGGGTCTTGAAAGAAGTGGGGCTGGGGGAGTCATGGTGGCAATATGGGAGCTTTCTACTTTTGGTGTTAAATCTTTTGTTGCAGGCTGTTGATCACTGCTCATATTTTTCCATTGTTTGGAACTTCCTTTGATGATATAGATGTGGTTTAATCACATGCCATGCACGCACTTGATGCATGAACCAAACGTTTTTGCAATTTGCACTCAGATCAGGAAACATCCTTCACGAAGACCCGCCAAATGCTCCACTATGTTGAGAAGGACTTTATCTCTAGATCTAGATCTGTTGGTGAGGTTATGCAAGGCATGTTTTGAACATTCGGGGAGATGGCCGCCATGGCCATGCCGGAACCCTTGAAGGAATTTCGTTTCCATGGTGTTCGAATGCAGGGGCCATGCAAACAACTACAAAAGGCTGGTGCTAAGGGCAAGCACACTTCGAATGTTCAGCGGGATATCCTCTCAAAGGTCGATAAGTTTGATCCTACACAGGCAGAGGGTTCACAAACACATCTATTATTAACATGTGTGTCCTTTTGGAATTTAGTTGCAATGCTGTGTGCTACCCCTACCAACATGCATGACCCCAAGATTTCCCCAACCTTTGTGCTCACCAGGTGCCAATTGATTGGATAGAAATTTCTCTGCAAGCTGAACGGGGCCTGAACAATGTTGAAGTCAGGACGTATGCGCTGTCTCAACTGCATCGACATAACCTATTGCCTTGTAGATGTCAACTGTATGTTCAATTCCCTGTTTTTTAATCAAAAGGTTATCTCTCTTCTCATTGACTCATGTGTGCAGGAAGCATCCAATAATTCTACCCCACAAACTGGTCACCTATTCTTCATGGCCAAGTCTGGATTCTGGTGCAGTGAAGCAATACTGGGAACATCTATCTCTGCATCGCAGCCCACTAGCAAATCTCAGTCCAGGCCAAAACCACGTACCAGTGTGGCTTTGGGGTGACGAAGCACAATATCGAAAAGGCAGTGGTGATCAACTTCTGCTTATTTGCATGGGGAGCATACTGCATGAAGAAAAGTTCTCAGTTGCCTCTTGCTACCCATTGTCCCTGTGCCGCTCTGATCCTCAAATGATTTAATATGTGTTTTGTTTTGGTGCCTGATATTGTTGCATTTCCTGGTCCAAATGGGCATGTACTAGTGACATTAGAGGTGTCATTAATGAAGGATTGTTTCAAAACATTATATTATGAAATCTTTGGTCAACAACCGTTGATGAGGAGTTAAAAGCTGGCTTTGCAACTGTTCATGGTATTTTGGACGCTGTACCTTAGCTGAATTATCCCGACTCCGATCCTGCACTGCCCACCCATTCTCCTTGATTTGAGCTGGCTTCCTGCGGTGGCCGGTTGGCTAAGGTAGTCCAGTCTCTGCAAGTTCTATACGATGAAGGTGCTGAACTTCACACTGGGGAGGCCAAGGTGAAGTTCGTTGTCACTGAGATCCGGGGGGGATTGGAAGTGGCAACAGGATACCAGCTATCAATAATTCTGTTCTGCTCAAATTGTCAGTTTTGCTTTGGATTTATTACCTCCGGTACCGACAACCCAGCTATATTTCATTTTCAACCATCATGCTGCTATAGGAATGGCTACAGCTATCCAAGTACTATTTGTGCAATGGCATATGTCACAACTGCAGAGCTACGTTCCCGAATTACTTCACTGCACCTGCAGACTTGGGCAACCAATTTCGTCAGACTACACAGACCTTTCTGGAGGAATGTGTGAAACATGGTGCACTGGAAAGACACTAAGCTTGAGGGATCATACTTTTGCAATCTGCCTATAATACGTGCATGTTGTACCATTATTGTCAACTATGCTGTGTCCAGCAGCTCTAGAGCAACGTAAACACTGCAGCTTCATTGCACAGACTGTCATCTGGAATTGATCTTAGGTCCGTTGCTACGCTTGCCGGGGTTCCAGCTCGCAATGATAAAGTGGGATGGAATGCATGTGGTCAACCTGGGTGTGGATTTGTGGACTGTAGCTTCTGTGGTAAAGAAGCTTTTTTCAGTACGAAGTGTTTGGAGGGCTGGACATGGATGAGTCCGACCGCTACTTAATTGCATATGATTTGTTCAAGAGCTGGAGCAGAACAAACAAAGTCTGGCATCTAAGCCGCATATCAGCTGGAGATGTCCCGTATATAGATGTCCTGTATATTTGTCATATATATATATATCTAATAATATCTAATATATTTGTCTGCAAGCCCAGGCATTCCATGCCCAAGTTCCGTCCTTGGCGGTTCCGCTCGAAGCTACATCCATGGCCAGAGCTGCAATCCAAGGCCTATAATGCGCCTTGCTGGATTGCAAGATTGAGACATGTATGATTGTGAACTCTAGATGTGATGCATGATGTGCTACTGTCTGGATGCATGAGCCGTGATTGTACAATACATTTTAATCAGGTGAAGCACACTGCACACATAGACCAACAGCCTATCTCAGGCCAGATGTGTGACGGCCTGGCTTTGTGAAGAAACCATTGGCATTGCTCGTTGCTTCCCTGGTGATGAGTGGTTGTCTTTGATGGCGTCCTGCTTGCAACTCGGTGTCGCACTGGGCAAGTTTCTCCCACCCAATCGCCCTAAGATTCAGGCCACATGTGTTGGACCAGTGCATACAAATAAAAAAGGTATACTACCAACTTTTATGTCTAACTTGTGATCTAATTTCACATTGAATGGCTGAAGTCACAGCACAGTGTGGCAGCACATGGAATCTGGGTAACCTATACTGTGTGCTGTGGGACTCTGGTCTACAACTAAGGTGGTGCCTAGCGGAGTGGCACCGCAGAACAGAACTGCTCCCTCGATACCTATCTGAAGCTGAATCTGGGGAGATGGTTGGTGTTTGTGACAGATTTGCCTTTTTCTACGCTACCCTGTCTAGAAAGGCGGTTGCGGGAGAAGAGCTACTGTTCCCTTTGAGACCCAAGCTCCACGCAATGCAAGAGATTGCATTCATCCAATCCCAGGAATGTTTCTTGGCCATGATCAGTTCTGATCTCTAAATTACCAAATTGTTGAAACCGTTTGAAACCTAAAAGGTGTTTCAAGCCTTTGCTGATATGTGTTAACAGTTAACAGGCCTAGGGATTACATTGGCAAACCCTGCAGGCTACAACCACAGGTTCTATCAAGGGTATAAGCCCGAGGATTTCATTGGCCGGATGGTTACAGTGGTGAGTGCCCGCAACAACTGTGATATGGAGCTTAAGGGCCTGAAGTGTTTCTACTTGGGGTAGCTTCGTTAAGTTCAGTCCTTTTAAAATTTGTTTTCAAATTTCTGCATGCATCTGGTCCTAATGCCTAAAGCATTGGTGGCACATAATATAATATCTATAGAGTGTTTTCCTGAAGATCAAACTCGTCTCGATTTCGATTTAGCCATTTGGCAGGCAGAAGAGCCACAGTGAGTTGAACCACTGGGACGCATTCACCTCTGATGATGAGATGGAAGATTAATTCGATGACTTACAATTCGATGTTGCCACCCCCCTATCCAAGATGGTCAATGTTTCCAGATCATATGTTCCATTTCAGTTGTGATCTTAAGTGGCTGGTGGCTCGGATTCTATTATGTTTGCTGCGAAAAGCGCAATGGCTAGACCATCATCGATGAAAAAGATTGCTTCTTGAACTTTGGTGAGGGTGTCGGAAATCAGGCTTTTCCAGCTTCTTGTCAGCACTAGCGCAGAGTGAACATTTTCCCAAAACCAAATAATTGATTGATCGAAATGTGATGTGGCTTCTCAGCCTATGATCACGAACCCTAGGGCTTTATTTGGTGCCAAAGCGTTTTCACTTTGGGTGGAGGAAGTGTTAAGTCTTTTGTATGTGCTTTTGGCGGGCTATAGGCTATAGCATTGAAGCCGTCAATATCATGCAATGTCTTCACCATGATTAAATGTTTGGCTCTCTTTTCCCTGAGTTCATGCCATACAAATCCCTACAAGCCATGATCTAGGTACTTCGACGAATACTTTGGATAGCTAGCAAAACAGTACTTTTGTAGAACCATGTTTCCCTACTTGCCTACTTGCTCTAGTCTGATCTAGCAAAATGCGTTCCAAAGTAACTCGTGCCTTTCGGGGAAACAGCAAATCCAGGTCCCTGTTGCTCTGGATTTGAGTGTGTGTGTGTGTGTTCAAGTGTAGCACAATGCGGGAGCCTCAACTGGTCGGTTACAATGAACGTGGGCTGAATTGCGACATCTACGGTCTAAAGCCCATGAAGTGACACAAAATGGCTAATCACTTTGTACTCAACATGGCGTTCATGCGAGAACTGCTGCCACTTTTCCAGCAGAAACTGACATTCTTTGGTTCTACACTGAGCTGCTGGTAGTAAGTCAGTAAGTATATGGAAGCCACTTGGCAAACAACTAAGTAAACCCAGGAACCCCCAACTTCCAGGAATATGAAAACTGAAAATGGCGCATGCCAAGAGGGTATCTCAGCGAAGGGCAACTTCTCCACCCTTAGAAATTTATGTGGTTAGTTCAAGTTCAAGCAGAATATGATGAAACTTCCGTGGATGTCCTCTGAGCATGTGGCACGGGATGTTTCCGATAGGTCTGCAGATCAACTACCTCCATCTGAGGTGGTGGGATTTCTCAGGAGGGGAAGGTCGTTCCATCCGTGGCAACTGGAGGTGGTCTACGGCCGCTCTGATGTACCACCGAGCCACAGAACCTCCCAATTATGTGACAGCTGCTCGCAGCAGTCGCACATCACTGCCTTGGCAGGGTCATTGAGGCTGGCCAGATCAAAGGATCTCCTCCACTACTTGGAAGATTGGATGAACACCTGCATCTCATGGGCGGTCGTACGTCAAGTTTTTTAGTAAAAGATCTACCTTACAATGTGTTGCATTCCACACATCGACTAAGGAAGGATATTATGGGTTCGCGAAAAATAGGACCTATCGCCCCTTGTATGTCCCTGGATGTCCCTGCAAATTCCAAAAGCACTTGAACAAATTGAGAAAATAGCAACAATCAAACCCAAAGTTTGGATCTAATCTAATTGCAGTACTATATGGAATAGAATCTGCAACGCTAAGATCTTGCTTGGAACCAAAGATCCCACACGACATGAGATCACACTATCACTAACTTCACAGCCTACGAAACTCCCAATTGTTGAGGTGGAAGTTTAGGAGATCAAACTGCTTTCTGAAAGGCTGAAAGTGTGCATGTGTATGTGTATGTATGCATATATATACACAGAATATGTAGGTCTCCACGGAATAATTAGAGTTCCAAAGAAACCCGGTTTATATTGGATCCACTGCGACCTCCCCGCAGTGGAAACGCAGCTTTGGCGGTCTCGAGGCCGAGAAGCTAGGAGGCCTTTGGCAGCTTTCAAGATTGATTCTGTATCTTTGGTCCGGATCTCCTTGCAAAAGCGTCAAACGTCTGCCAAGGTATCGTTCGCCCGAGGGGCGAAGCACTGCTCAGCTAGTGTAGTAAGTGCTGTGTTGCTGTGATGAGTCCTGTCACCTTGAGGGCAAAGGATTCATGTGCAAACGATCCATGTGGAACCACCCACAGTTCCATCGTCTATGCGAAGACACCCGTACATTATGTGACTTTTGGACTTTTGGAATACAATGTAATGAACAAATGGCTACACATCTATCAAACACAAAGCCGCAAAGCTCGAAACCTTGCATCTATATATCCATGTATATACCTGGAAGACCCTCTGGAGTCTCGAGCTGGGGAAACCAACTGGCGCTTGACCTGGAACAGCAACTGTATGAGCTTCATTATTAAAACGCCTTGTCAACAAGTTGACAGTCAGATTGTTCAAAGTATCCAAAACAATCTAGGAACCAAATCAAAGTATCCAAAAGAATCTAGGAACCAAATCATTAGTGCGGTGCGAGCTCTTCTTGAAGGAAGCTCCCCTGCCACCTTTAGGGCAGCGGGGGGGAGCTTTCTTGAAGAAGCGTGAGCTATCCTGCGTCCTAGCTAATAGCGTCCAAGTAGCTCTTCCTCTTAGCGGCGTACCCCACCGGGCGTTTTTAAAAAGTGGCTGTCTTGTCTTCGTCGACGTTACAAATACTTGGGCTGCGGCTATGTTTTGGTGCACTCGAAATGTCTAGTCTCCATATTATGCGTCCATGTGTCTCCATCTCCATGCGAGAACATGACGCTTCTCAGAAGTCCTCCTTTTTGAGACTCTCTTCCAGCTCCATGGTGCTCTGCTCCTCGCAGTTGTGCTACATGGTGCGAACCTATGGTCCGGTTTCTTTGAGTGAACCTATAGTGGGTCCTCTCTGGGCGGGCATGATATTGAGAAATGTTGAGGGTGAATCGAAGTCAGGTACGAAAGCTTTGAGAAAAAACAAAACCCTTTGGACACCCGCTCCATCTTGCTCCCAGACCCTCAGTACCTGTGATAATAATTGCTCTATGGCAGCACTCCCCAGTGCGGTTGGATGGATTGCGCAACCAGCAGCATGGTCCGGTTGAATTGCCACCCCTTATTCCAGGGTCGGGGAGTGAGCCTCAAAACAAAACAGCAAGATTGCCTCCATCCCGATATCGATGGCCTCCAACCTAAGAGCAATGGCCTTCATCCTCCGGCTCCCAACCTACTAGCAATAGCCTCCAACCTAGGAGCCATGGCATATTACAAACATAAATAATAAATGGATAGTAAAAGTTGGATTCTCCATGATTCTCCACACAGTCAAACGCCCTGAGGCACAGCCGGGTGTTTGTTCGGGGTGAAGATTTGAAAAGGTGACTCATCTTTCCAAAGGACGTGGCATCATCTTTCCAATGAGCACCTCCAGGTGGAAAATCCAAGAAAACGACCATGGCTCATTGGGTCTCAACCTCGCTTAGTGGGCCGATACGCGAACAGAACCCTGCATGTTCTGAGCCATCTTTACTTGAAGCCTTTAGAAGAAAGCCCCCAGTTGAAAGGGCCACGACTCCTTTGTTTATCTCTTTCTTTTGAGGAAACCTCAATGGATCAGCACGTCAGCGATTTTCGGAGGACAGACTTGGGATGCGAGAGGCTCTGTGGCGCATCCGTTGGATGCTGTTAGTGAGCTGCCACCTTCTGTTGACATCGGTCTTGGAAACAAAACCGACAGAGATGCACCTTTTCAAACTGATGGTTTGCAGTGACGGAGAGAAACTATACCTGAGACTTTCAGAATAGTTTCTGACCAACGTAATTGCCCGGTGATCAGGGTGGTTTGGTCAATTCTCCTCTCATGGTCTTTCTGAGCTCCAATTGAACCATCGCAAATCAAGGTTTTTCACCAGACTCGCCTGGGATGATTTGGTTCCAACCTACATCTGTTTCGGGCAGTAGAATAGTTTGGTAGTGCACTAAAAAAACGTGATTGTTCTAAGCACATGACCTCCCCTGCGATTACACCTACATATAATTACCTCTTTTTAGTAGCAACTCAAATCCAATCTCCACCAGAAGAACCACCTGGCTTCTCGGCTGCAAGGATTCGGTTTTGCACGTGCTGGCGCCTGACGAATGGTCAAGTAGTTGAGCTGGCCCAAAATCACTGCCATGAACACCACGGAGACGACCTAACTACGAAATCCACGGGTAAAGTAGGCTGCGCTGTGGAAATGCGGGGGGCCAGTACCTTGCAGTTTCAGCTTACCGAAGCAACCAAAGCCGAGATTCTCAACACGAAGAGTAAGTATGGTTACCACGAAAGGCAACAACCAGTGGTTCCAGGAGTGAAATACAGTCGCCTATTCAAAACCGATGAAAATCCTCACTTTCTCTACTTCCCAGGTGTGGACCCACGACTACCAAAGTTTCGTTGGACTGGGGTGGTGCAATTCCAGCCTTGGGCTTCCACCTTCTCTTGTGCTTCCACCGGCCAATGCCCATCCCGATCCGCCTCGTTGACAAAGAGAATCGGCAAGATGGACAAGTCCCTCTCAGGGCCTTGGCGCACATAGCCGCAGGCGACAAAGGCGGGGAGCAGGTAGAAGTTCACCCGCACCTGCGCTGCCGTGCGCTGCAGTTCAGCAAACTGCGGATGTGATGACGGGTGAATTCCACATGGGGTGTTTGATTCTTTTCGAGATGGCGCATGGACTGAACTGTGTCCCATGTCCATCCCCTGTCAAGTGTGATCGACGATCACTTGTGTGCTCACGCAATTGAATGGATGCAAACGAGGCATGACCCCAACAAATTACATGAATGACTGCACCGTAAACCCATGTATAAAGGCTCAAATTGAGGGGCTAGGACATAAGACGATGTTCAACACGTCGTCGCCTGTGGTTTGATCACCGAGGCACTTCTTGTGCTCGGAATTCGCGGATGTATAAACATGTCACTGTATAAAGCATAATTTCTTTAAACCAGTTGGAGATGTTGCAGGCTGCTTTCTGTCAATACTGCTCGGGTAATGTATGGATTTGGCTTGTCACCTCAGGAAGAAAGTGTATCTTTCTTACAGGCACCAGGCACCTTGTTGAAATGCGCTCGGGTCACAAAACTACGCCGATATTGAAGTTGCAGTATAGATAGAGTGGATCCACTCACCCATTTTGTCAGGATCTCCTAGCGCAATGTCATCTGTATTGAACGGGAAACGAACATGATTTGCCCTACAGTACATTTAACTGTTGATAATTTCTGTGCAGATCTGAAGGTTTGGCACGACCTTAACAATGACTTTTGCATTCTGGTTCCATAAAAGGATTTTGGGAACCTCCAGACACTACTTTTCCGGGGCTTCATTCGGGGGAAGGATGACTCAGGGACTGATCAATCAAGATATTGCCCGTTTGCACCGAGGAGCGGTGAACCAGATGTCAGGAGAGAAGCTTCCAATGAACCTCAAAGGCAAAGCAAGCAAACCGGGTACCCCAGGTACCCCCACATATGGGATTGGATTACGGCCCGGAAGCGCTCCCACCCAGCGACCAAGCTTTAACCATGTTTAACCTCTGCTTTGGATGGTTCCCGGGTTGGAAGGCTTGACCGTTGGCAGTAGGCTTGACCAACTATCATGTGGTCGCGGGCCATCGTGTTCGCCTTTGATTTATCCCGTAGGTGTCTCACAAGAGGGAGAACTTTCAGAAACCACTGGCTGAGAACATGGAAAACAAATCCATTGACACCTTGTCCGGCGCATTCTGTCCTTGATAAAGCCTGACATATTAGTCATATGTTTTCTCACACACATTAGCGCCAAACGCTTTTAAAGCTTGCTTCGGCCAGAGTGGCGCACGGCCAAGATAATTGGCAGCCATGAGGTGGTTTGACAGGTCCACGCCTCAGCCACGTGGGAGAAGCGGCTACTTTGGAAGTTCCAGTCGCGAGTCGCAGGTTGTTCCATTTAATCACAGCAACCTCCTTGATCCACCGTGGGCACAAGTACCAAAAGTCGGGAGTCAGTACCAAACAAAACAGAAGTTTGACGATGTTTAAAGGAGATTGGTTTAGTAGCTTCGGAGAACCAGCTTGGAAGATACGTAAATATATATATATACATATAGTATCTACTTATGAACTACCCATACTAGGTGTTTTGCACCAAACCCAGTGGACGCTTGATGGTCTCTTACACCACCGTCCACCCCAAGCGTCAGCGTCGACCTGCCAAATTCAAAAAGAGTAGACAACTAAACAACTCAGTATTGCAACATACTGCAACAACTAATTCAGTGGTGCATGTAGGTCAAAACCTCTGTGAACCCAAGACTACATCGTTGAATAGTAATGGGTTTGTTCCACAAACACGCCAGCTGAGCATTGGGACTGTTGAGCAGCCCAAGGAGATTGATCAATATACCTGGGCAAAAAAAGAAAAACCCTGGGTCACGGGAAGAATGGCTACAAACCATGATGGGAATTGGGGGCCCTCGACCCCAGTTGACTCCCATCCCCCCAAAGTAGATCAAAGTGCACCCCTAAATACAGGAACTCTAGACTTCTGACGAACGGTAGTGCTCTCAACCTGCAGCCTTTCGTACCGAATGTTGAAGGAAGGGTCGGAACCACCAAGAGTCCCAAGAGTTCAAGGATATTCATCCCATCACATTTCCACAGGTCAGGATTTCTGGCAAATCAACAAGATAAGATTCTACAGTGAGTGGCGAAGCCCAAAGTACCAAGGTACTCCTTATGGAAGGCTTGCATGAACTCTGAAGTTAGTCAATGGCAAGTAATCCGGTTGCAGGTAGTCTTGTCGGCTACAGATGGTTTGCTTTCAGCCTGAGAGTTGAGCATATACCAGTTGTTGCCGAGTCAGACATTCCCCATCAGTAAGTTGACTCCCTTGAACTCACCAGAATGGCATCTGCAACGTTGCAGAACGCATCACTAAGCTCAAAGTTAGCTCTCCTCCACATAAGCTGGGACTTGCTGGCCTGAGGGTAGACCGGGTAGACCATTCTACAGTAACTTGAGATAGGAGGGGGTGAACGAAAGGTAGCAAATGGGCGGGATGGGAAAGGAGTGAGGATCGCAAGGGGTGAGTCCAAGTCTCGAGAGGCTCGAGCGCTTCTGACAAAATTAGGCATTGCGCATGGTTTGGCGGTGGCTGATGTCAACCTGTGACCCTGTGTGCGATTCTCAAAGCAACAGACCGTGTTCGAGAGAGACCCTAATGAAGCAACCCCCACAGGCCAAAGCCAAAGAAATCCTATCTATAAAGAAGCCATGAACGCCAGCCAATGCCAAAAGAAACCCTAAAGACTAAAGAAGTGAAGTCCTAAGCCAAACCCAGAGAACCCCCCAAAAACCTAAAGTAGCAAAGTTCGGATGCCAAACCCAAAGACACGATAAAGGCATGTAAAGACTCAAGACATGAAGCCCGAAGCCCACAAGCCAAAGAAACCCTAAAGAAGTGAAGAGTGAAGCCAAGCCTGAAGAAACCCTAAACGAAGTGAGACCCGCAAACCCAGCGAAACCCCGGCAAGACAAGCCCAAAGAAACGCCAAAGTAATGAGCCCAAATAAGACAAGCCCAAAGTAGTGAAGCCCTACACCTTTTCAATTCCAAAGAAACCCTAAAGAAGTGAAGACCTAAGCCACAACTAGAGAAAAACTAAAAAAAAATACCCGAACACCCGGAACATCACTCACATGGGTTGAGTTCTCGAGTTCGAGGCATTCCAGGGTTCCCAAACCGCGACGGCGCAGAGGGGATTTGATCCACGGGCCCCCCCCTGTCAAACAGAATCCCTCCTTACAGGACCAAACTCTAGGCAAATCACCAAGTCCTGGTTACAAACATGTTTGCTAAAGCAAAAGGAGAACTCAGGTAGCCTGCACTCACAACACCTCCACATGGGTGGTCCGGTTGTTTCTGGTCATTCATGTCCGTGTCAGTTTCTGTACAGTAAATGGAAAACACACATATGTATATACATGGTTCTGCTAAGGTTCTGCTAAGCATGGCAAGCCGTTCAGAAAACTGGCGTAAGGCTTTTACTACTGGGTTTGGAGTGGTCTTGGAAGAGAGTGTAGAGGAAAGAAATCATCTCTGAGAGAGGGTACATGGTGTAATTTCTGACATTTGGGTCCCATTGAGCCACACCTAAATCTCACTGTGCATGTCACCAAAGACTTGGGCACGGTCTAGTTACCAACCATCCCGCATCAACTATCAGCATGCATTCTGTGCTTTCCATACAAAACATTGCAAACACGACAAAATATTGATGTGTATTGTAGATGTTACATACATGTATATATATATACACACACTATATTTACATATGTAACATGAAAACATGTATATTTACACATCTAAATATTTACTATCTTGTATCATAAATCCCGGGATTCAGAGTCCCGTCCTTTGTTTTACGCATTGACATCACCGGAGATTCTGGGCCAAGGACACCAAGATTCGAATCATTCAGACTGGACATGAACGACCGGCCGATAGACCGCGTAGACCTTGCTTTGTGGAAGACAATGTTCCTCAACAAATCGCTGGTTGCTTGGCATTGTTTGGGCCATATGTCTTGTCCCACAGGCCCAGCGAAGACTGTCCACAACCAGGCTACTCAGCATCATGGTCTGTTGCCGCGAGGTCTTGCCACCTGCACAGGACGTAGTTTCCAAACTTTATATTTCCCACAAACAAGCAAAAAGGAAGCAAGACATCTCAATTTCTACAACTTTATAACATGCTGTTGAAACAGAATGATCCTTTCATATATCCATGCACTATCCATGCACCCCGGGTCCAGGCTTGCCAAAGGCTTTCGTCAATGGCTCCAATACAGTCATGTATCTTCTTTTCATTGGAGGATTGGTGTCTGCATCCAACCTCTGAGTCAATACATGTTGAACAAATCAGTGAAATTACAACAAAAGCGCTTCTAGTTCCAGCACCGGCTCCCAAGCTCTGTTCAACCCCCCTTCCGAAAAAAAGGCCCTGCTGAAATTGGGGGTGAAAACCTGAATCGAGGCATTCAGTTGCGACTAACGACATGCCAACTGGGTGAAACTGCCATGCTTGTCTTGACACGCCTGGCTTTGAGGCCCATCGAGTTAAAACAGCAGAAGAGAAGGCCGTCCAGAAATGCAAGGAGTAGGCAATGTCCTCGATCCCACCTGAGTGTCAAATACCAAGACTGGCCCCCTATTCAATGTCGCTTGCTCCAAATGAACCTGATTCTTTGAGGATTTAGGTGAATATCATATCACCTCACCTCTGTGTCAAATCAGGGATTTTCCTAGCCCAATGCATTTCATTGAACTCGTGAGTTAAACCCTAGTTTTAGATATATATATAGATATCCACTTGATAAACGCTGCCCTATCGAAAACACAAACTCATGCGGGACAATCCTAGTTGCAGTTTGCTTTAGACTTCTAATGCAATCTGTGATACTTCAATACTACAATGCCCCCCAATGCATGTGTGTGATTTTAGGGGTTAGGTTTCTTTAGACAGTAGGCCGCTCAAGCCTGACGCCTGGTGCCAAATCCAAGCTGTTACCCTCGATTGGTTTTAGTTGGTTGTTACAAAGGGAAAAGGAAAACCCATTGATTTGGAGGTTTCTTCAAGCCTTTTGAAGCAGTTCTCAGGGACGCTGGCGGGTTCCTATCTTTGGTGTCCCTCTGTTGCGAGGTCACCCTATCAAAAAAAACTCTGCATTGTGCGTTCTTGGCAGGCGGGTGCGAATATTAGCATCAATAGGTAGAAGGGATTCGAGGTGGGAGAATTGACTGAAGTTCCAAGGTTTCAGGCCTGGACAAGACAAACATAAATGCTACTGCATTTTGCTCTTGAACCAGGCTTCACTGCTTGAGAAAAGCCAATAGGGGCTTTATGCGGCGGCTTTGTGAATACTAGTAGCAAGAAGCGACTAGGAGCAAAGGGTATCGCTACTAGGAGCAAGGACGCTACTAGTATCTCCTGGCCTTACTACTAGTAGCAAGAAGCTACTAGTAGCGTCCTTGCTAGTAATCCAAAGGAGCGTCCTTTGTTCCTAGTAGCTTCCTTCCAGGCCCCTATTGCGCTGGTTGATTCAGATAGAGGGGCTTTGCCAGGAATTTGAAGGACACACCCCAGCTGGAACATACCAAGTATGGGACACGATCGTCTCAAAGATTCAAGAAAGGGATCGCAGGGAACCAAACCAACCCTGACATCGCCAAGCCCCCCCCGCGCCTCGAAAAAGAATCACAAGTTTGGAAGGTTTGGTTATTTGTGAGCTCATCCTAGCTACCGCAGCACAAAACCTGGACAGTTGCAGCGTACCACAGGTTTTCGCACGACATCAGTGCTCGAAGACCGAGGTGCCACGAAATTGACTTTGCACGAGGAGGAAAATGCAATACCTCGTTCAGCAAAACTGAGGTTGCCCAACAGAATGAATAAAACGACGATGGATGGGACACTATCAGCCAAACACCCTAACAGTAACAAGAAGCTAGTAGAAACAATATTTCTAAATAGGTAACTTCCGCGCGTTGACAAAAGGTGACCGTGGGCACCACCAACTGCCTCGCTACTATTCTCATAGTGAAAGTAGTGCCCCGTCGCTGGCAGAAGCCTCTTGCAGCAGTAAATAGCAGTAATATGGATCACCTGTGAGTGGTTTGGCCTGCACAACACATGAACATGTTTGCTTTTTTGTCAAGATGAAGCTTAATTGGTTTTGATCTCCTGACGTTTTCATACCCACTCAGATACGGCACAACTTTCCATCTGAAGGAACACACTCAGACGCTCAGATCAATTAGTGGTAAGGCAAGCCAGCAAAATGCCAAGCCGGTGGCAACCTCGTTGCTCTATGTTGCTTTGCCGCACGGCTGTGTGCTATTCCAGATTATGCTGAAACATGTAGTCTGCAAGAAAGAATCAGTAATAAGAATCAAATAAGAATCAAATTCAATGAACAGCAACCAAAAAGATAAGTAAGCATTTCCAATCATTTCCCCTCCTAGAAGGCTGTCTGAGAGAAAGCGAGTTGACGTCACGGCCACTCCAAGGCGGGACCATCAAACGAGCCTAAACTCGGTGACTAGTGAAAATCTGTGCTACTCCTAGTGGAAGACGTCTTGCACCAACAGGGATGCACAAACATTGTGGATCTAGCAAACGTGGGTCCTTCTAGAAGCAAGGTGGTGTAGGGTCTCCCAAGTCTGTATACTTCCATACCCAACTGATTCGCGAGAACAGGGCGCATCTCAGAGCAAAGTGAGGACAAGGCTGTTCCAGCCACCCAGGCAGAACAGCGTTTGTTGTGGATTCGCAGCAGCACCTCTCGAAAGGAGTCTGTGAGTCGGGTGAAGAGTGAAGGGCTGGTTGTGCCCGAAAGGAATGGTTCCAGACTATATAAGATTCTCTTGTTGAGTGAAGCCAGAAGGAAACCACTGGGAAAACGACTACTAGTATATAACAAGAAGCTACTAGAAAACAAGGTGCCTTACTCTAGTATATAACAAGGGCATCGCTACTAGTAACAAAGGCACGAGTATGCACGAGTCACAGCTCGCATGGCCGCAGCCTCTTGGGTATGTCCGGTTCTGAGCTGCATAGAGTGACGGTAATTGAGAATGGTGGACCAAAGAATGATGATAAACCATAGGCTAAATGACACGGTGACTAAACTACAGCAACAATATGACCTAATTTGGCTGCAGGGACACTGGGCAAGTCGTGAACCACTGCTCCCTGCTCACCACACACCACACACTAACTTAGCGATGGCCTCCAACCTAATAGCAATGGCCAACTTGCAACAGGCCCTTGACCGAGACAAGAGTAACACTGGTCCTCCACCCTGAAAAGAGACATCCCCATAATTGCCTTCAAAGCAGCTTTCCATTCAAAACAATTACACTGGAAACACGTCGCTTCTTGACCACAAATTACTATGTCCCAATTCTAGAGTTAGCCAAATTGCCATTTGGGGGCATGCAGTTAAGAACTGTTTTTTTCTGCATGTTTCAGCTACAAAACGGTATTTCAGCAGAGTTGACCTTCACAAATGCATCCGCCACTCTGTGGCACCTTTAAAACGGCCCCTGTGAATGGTCCTGTCCCAAGACTGTCCACAGCCCAAACGTCGCCTGTTCGATCTTTATTTGGTCTGGGTCGTCTGTTTTCTTGCTCTGCAAAGACAAAAAGGCGGCAAGTGGCCCAGTAGCGCCCAACCTTTGGGGTTCACCCGAACCACCCGGACCAAAGCGACTGAGGAGAGGTCGGCGATCACTGGGTTGTGGACAACAAAGACAACGAGCAAACATGTGGGGAGGGCCCCGAACCAGCACTGTTCAGCACTTCGACATCCGGGGACGATTGCCGAGAGAAGGGCTTCTCTGGCAAATGTGTAGCCAAAGGCATCGAAATACGCCGGAATTGTGAGCCATCATACAATGCAGATATGTCAATGAAAGATGATTGAAAGCATGAATCATATACCGACATCTTCTCCATACATGAGACTTCGGCGTTCCGATGGGCAACCACTTGTCCCCTACATGACTCCATGACATCCCGGTTAGTCCCCTTGCAAGTTGAACAATCTTTGCCATCTATATTATATTCCCTGCAGACATTTATGAAGCATCAACTTGTACCTGCTGTGTTTGGGTGTGTGTGTGCCTCATAACTAGAACCCCTAAAGCCCCTGGGGAAAGGCTTATGAAAACCAGTGGTTCGGTGTCGACTGGAACAGGGGGCCCCATTTGTGGGTTCCTGTGTTCATCATAGCCTTCACATGGTTGTGAGAGATCCGTAGAAGAGCAATACTACTGCCCAACTCAGGTACAGTGGCGAGGATCTTTACAAAGCAATTGAAAAACACACCCTGCTTGGTTGAAGACAAGTCTACCAGCGGCCAAATGCATTGCAGCAGTGGTTGAGAAGGACCTGAGACCTTCAAGAAATTGCAATTTGGACAAGACTCGGGCTCAGGTATAGGCTAATGATACCGATAAATGGGGCTGTCAAAGTAAGTTAACTCCCCCAAAGACCCTGGTCGAAGGCAAACTATACATTGTCTCTGAAACTAGAAACCTGTACATATATATACTATGTATGTCTCTATAGGCGAAAGGTGCAAACTTGCTTGGAACAAACCATTTCCCTGTCTTCTTTTGAACCCATCGATGTTTTGTACCAGCACCATCTGAACATGTCTGAACAATGGGGATCCAACAGTCTAAATACAGTCCTGTGTGAAGGAACGAAAATCCTGCGACTTTCGAGATTTTCCCATCTGAAGCTGCAACCATTTCCTGCACTAACAACAGGTTGCGGTTTACAACCTGGGCAAAAAACACATGTTGCTATACTTCGGCAAGCATGCCACCCCTTTCCAAGGGCAGCTACTGGAAGATTTGGCCTTGTTCCAGGAAACCAGTAGACATAGGAGATGTAAATTGCAACCTCAAATCCAGCTTGACAAGTCACACATGCAGCGTCTGCCACAAAAAGACTCACTTGCACCCAGGTGGGTCAGCAAACACCAGGTCAACCTGGGTAAGGTCCAACCCTAAACAATTCGACAGTCAAACCACCCTCAGAGGTTCGCCACTCCTGAACTAGTCAGGACCAAGTCACATGGAATAGATGGAATAAGACGCAACAAAGCGCGTGAATTGGACAACACATTGGATATAGCCATGGAAATCGTACTTATCAAAGGATGTTTAGTTGAGAAATGTTCAAATTATGGAGACAATAAAATAGATTTGAATCATTGTTGCACGTGTGTGTGCGTGGAATCTTGACGGGTTGGATGTGTGCGAAAGGTAGAGGATTCGCACAACGCTGCTGTTGAGGGGAACGTGTGTGTGTGTGTACGGAGGGGACTTCAAGAGAACAAGTGTCAAACCGTGGAGCGAAGGTAACAAAAACTATTTCACAAGAAAACCTAACAGGTGCAGGTTTAGGGGCAATGGTAGCGATTCCACAGAATATATAAGTATTAATCCAAAAAAGTTACTGTAGATTTAAAGTCGAGGAAACGATGCGATGTCTGGGAAAATACATGCAAGGGACAATAACATTGGTAAATGCGGAGAATTGTAAAGAAGAAGCGAAAATGAGTAGAGATATCCAAAGAAAAATGTATCGAAAAAACGAGATTTCTGCAGCAAGCGATTAAAAGCAATGATCTGTATGAGGAAACAACATAATTGACATAGAAAGGATTAGAAAGGTGTGTGTATATGTATATATATATATGTACTTTTTGTGAAAAAGCAGATTCTCAAGAAGTGTATCAAAGGCAAATATTTCTAGAGAAAAATGCTGAAAAGTAGAGATTTCTAGAGAACAATGACGAATATAAATTTTCTGAAAGAACATGAACATCTACAAGACTTCACCACATCAAACTACTAGTACCTTTGTACACTCTACACTTCACTACACTACGCTTCACCTTGTCACAAAACACCTTGTCATGTCCTTCACATCATCTATTCACCGAATTGAACACATGTCACCACGTCGTAAACCCTTTGTGTAGAGAGAAGTTGGCAGAACAGAACATCTGTCCCTGACCTCTGGCGGAGATTGCCTGGTACTGGACGCATATTCACACACATATATAATATATATATATATATAGATTTACATGAAATAGGGAACTTCAGACCAGCGTAAGCCTCCTGTTTGCACATGCCGTTCAAGGCGTTGGGAGGAGAAAGCTACCACGGCGACTGGACATCATTCGCTCAGCCGAAATGTAAAACACCAATGGCGTATTGATCCTGAGGAGCTGTGCCCACAACAAAGGTCGTCGCGACGGGGCTCTCCATGGCGCAGCACAAGGTGAGACGCTGGTGTTCAGTGCAGCATGGGGCGGCTTTTCATGAATCGGCCGTCTTTTTCAATGTGGATTCAAAGCGAGAAGAAGAAGCATTGATCTTAGACATGTTGTTGGACTCGTTCAAGTTCCTGCCACCCACTCGGGTGTGCAAAGAAGGGGACTGCGTGGAACTTTGCCGCGAACTACTGCTACGCATCGCAGAATTTTGATTGGTATGCCCGGTATGCCCACAGTAGATTGACATTGAGGGGACCAAGCATGCGAAAAACCTGTGACTAGCTTGTACCTGTGTCGCTCCTGTGTGACCTCGCTGCTGTATGTCGCTCCAAGCTTTGAGTGACTGAGATCGGCCAGGCTTCAGCTGCGGCCATTTGAGTGAAGATGTCAATGTCACTTCTCTGGTCTACTACAGCTGCAAAGCTGGTCATAGAAAGCAATGTGTAGTTTGCTCTTCCCGTTTCTGCAAAGTTACATTTGAAATCTGTGCCCTGGATCAGGGGGCTTAATCCGACCTTCCACTGAGACTCCAATATGCCAGTTTGCTCCTCTAAATCTGATCCCTGTCCGGCTTCACCAAAGGATTGCCTGATCAGTGCCTTACTGGGATTTTACCTGCTAAAATGCCAAAGTCGGGCATCTCCTAGTACTATCTGGTCTCCCATTGGCAAACCTGCAAGCCTATTGTGGAGGAATAAAAGAACGAGTGTCTCAAAATGGTACAAGGGAAGATAGAGGCAAATCACTGACTAACTAAAGTTCAGAACAGTTCACTAGTTCCCTGGTTGGGCCACCGGGGTTCTTCATGGAGTGCCACTCCATCACAAGAATCCAAAATTTTGCTTGCTGATCCGATCCCTCTTTTCAGTCACAGACTACCGAGGCTTTGAGCTACAGGAATCGCCACCAAAAGGCCATGCAGTGCTCCATGTCACTTCATGTTTTGAGACTGTTCTTCCTTCTTTCTTGTTATGTTCCTTTTCTTTCCTTTGTTATTTCTTGTTCTTTTCTCTCTCTTTCTCTCTTTTGTTTGGTTCCTTGCCCCAAGAAAGCGCTTGGTTCTTAAAACATTGAACTAAGAAATTCAGCAAATCTTGCTCCCCAACCCGGCCTTTCGAAGAGCTGGAAGATGGAGCTCTCCATGGGGTGATCGTTCCCCAGCCGCCCGTGTCAGCACGGCACGTCTTTGGCGCGTCTTCGCGTCGCGGCTTCCCGCCGCGAGGTTTGGCGAGCCCAGCTGCGGCGTTGATACCCGCAGCAAAGGAAGAGTAGATCACCCCTACTACTGAAAGGTCGCGGATGTCGAACTCCTTATCTGTTCCTAGTAGCTTCTTGTTACTAGTAGTAATGGCCTCCAACCTAATAGCGATGGCCTCCACCTAGTAGCTTCTTGTTATTAGGCACCTTTAACAAGGCCCCTTTAAAGGGGGCCCTGCCAAAGCGGCCCTTACCTCTTTTTTCACTCGTCTGGTAAAGAACTATTTCTTCAAGGCTTCTAATCTGGACAGTTGTCAGAACGTCTCTCGGATCTTGGAATTCCCCTTCGATCACCCTCCTGGATGACCTCACAAAGTGTCGAAGCGTTAAAAAAAGCAAGAAACGTAGATGTATCGAAAACCTGAGCGCAACTAGGATGGTCTTAGAGGCAAGCCGGGTATAGACTCAACCATGTATATATATATATGTATCTAATAAGCACAATTAGTAATAGTAGAAATACTATTACAATGTATGGCACATCATCATATAATGGGGGTGCATTGGACCATTGGACCATTAATTAACAATGCATAAAATATAACCCAAATGCCACAACAGCATCAGTTGATTTGCTGAATTTGACCAGAGCTTTCAGCCAATGCTTCCTGGGAGTACAACTCCCGAACCAAACAATGAAGTGGAACTTGGATGAACTTGGCCCTTGGGACAGACCTCGAACTAGACAGCTTCCACTTGCGTGCATATTGATTGCAAAAGGGTATCAGATGCAGTTATAGCAATGGCCGCCAACCTAAAATTGGGACATGTTCCGGGAATGCCTAACACCCCGCTCACGAGGAACGAACAAGCTACAGGGTGCCCGGACGACGGACATGCTCACGTCGACAGGTGTTAAAGCCACATCCAACAAGCTCGCTTCGATGGCCTTTTTCAAATCCTCCTCCTGGCACAGGGGGATGCCCTTGAGTGTCCACGTGGTGGGGCTGCCAACATTCCGCAACATAAACTAGCTTCTGAACCAGTAGAAACCGACTTTCCTCAGGCTGGAAACCCCGGCTTCAACAGGCGACTTTACCAACTGTTTGGTTGCTCACCCTGCAGCAATCCCAAAGTGCAAGTATGGACCCGTACTGTACTGTCAGTAATTAATGTTGCTTTGCGTAATCCTGAATGATGGAAAACTCCATGTCTGCTGTATCTTTAGCCGACCAAATCTCGAATTTCTTAGATCTGTCGGCAAACGGGGGCCTTGTCCAACTGTTGGAGCGTGATTTTTCTGCAAAACCAGGCTCCAATCCCGATGGGCCCTTTGGGCAGGTTGTGAGTCATTGACCTCTTGCCACAAAGTTAAAGGGCCCGGCCACCCTTACTTAAGTAAGTGCCTACTGAATTAAGTAAGGGACAAACTTCTTCGCTCCTAGCTACTGGACGCAGGATAGCTCAGGCTAATAATTTGTGTCCTAGATTGTTTGGGAAACTTAAGTATACGCCGTTCCCAGGACATGTTCAGGGGTTGACATTCTCTGGATGTTGGAATTGTGAACAAACGTGAACTACAGGTTGACCCGCGAGGCTTTCACTGCTTTAGTGCCATCTTGTTCATTGGCCAAACAAATTGAGAACACTATATACCTCTGACCCCCCTCAGGGTGTGCTGATCCGGGTGTGGCTGCGCTCGGGAGTGTAGGGGGTCATGGGATTCACATTGATCCAGGGCAACCAAACACCACATCAGTTTGTTTCTCAAATTGATCGGTACGGGCATCAAGCCAAAAACCATTTGCATCCCATGTGCTTTCATGGTGTCTTCCTAATTCCCCCTGCATCGATAAACCCTGCAACGCAGAAACCCAATTGAACACCAAACCAGGAGTGTTTTGAAGGATGTCTAATTGTGTGCGGATTTTCACGGCTGAATGTCCATGTGTTCCAAATGAACCTGATTGTCCTGATGTCCGTTGGTGAGGGTGCACACTCCAATGACTCTCTTGAGAAAGGTTTAAGCCGGCCATGAGTCTGATCCGAACGCAGTCACTCGACCTGGAAATGACTAGTATCGCATTGGTCAGTCTTTCCGTATCTCAAGTCTGTGGCAGTTACCACATGAAGGGTCAAGCGTCAGCGTCGGCTGACTTCACCGGGGTCCTTGCAATTGCTGAGACCAAGTTCTGATATGTTCTAAGTGCTCTGTTGGGACGAGCGCAGTGCATCAGCTCTTCTTTCGGGCATCTCCAACCTTCTGTTTCACCAGAAAACGCTCTCCCTCCCCGGAAAACACGTTTCGATCGGGAAGCGCTCCCAGCCCTTGATTTCTCATATCAAGCACCATGGAGCCCCGTCGAACCCGCTTAATTAATCCATCCGCTCCTCCTGCTCTTCCTGCTGCAAACGCCTCGTCTGCTGCAAGGAGAGCATCAAGTCCTGTGGAGCCTCGATGTGAAGCGCGAAGCGACCCAAATCTGCACGAAGTGGCGTGAAGCGTTGCTTCAGTTTGTCACACAAGCTGCCAATGCAACATAGTATATAAAACAGTGGTGGACCAGTGAACCTTGTCTTAAGACCAATCGAGAACAAGTGACAAATGTCAACGCTGAAAAATAAATCAATATGGTATGTCCAGTTCAAACTGGTTAACATACATGTACATATCCTGATTTATGTCGATTGTAATTATCATCGCGCATGCTGATAAAATACCCAATTATTTCGAAGGCAAGGGATCCCATAATGAGGTGACTGACAAACAATATCAAGCAATGTCATGTTCAAAGGCAAAAATTGGCCTACCCGCAATGAAACCATAGTTGATCGGCGTTTATTCAAAATTTGATACACCATACTCACATGTGAAAACAAAACTTCCTAGCCCTGCAAACGTACGTTACAAAGCAAAGACATGTCCATAGCTGTTTGGTCAAACGTATATAATTGTGCTTTTGGGTATGCATATTACTGTGGTTTTGGGATGCCCTGCTAGTTCCTACAAGTCCTTAGCTCCAGGTTTGTAGCGAAATGTCTTCGGAACCACTTGATCTTTTGGTTCTTCTTGTGTCTGCAGCTGTAGCCTAAGCCTACGTTGCTCATGGATAGAGCAGCGCCGGACTGCTTCAACCACGTGGCCTTGCCCCGTTGCACACGGAGAGGTTTCTCGCTCGTCTCGCTGTCTTTGTGCGCCATCTTCTGTTGGAAAAATTCAGGGATGCAAGCGAGATAGAACCTTAGGGTGACTGGCAAAGGCCAAAAGAAGGCGCTGTTCCTTTCAAGGTCTTCTTTTGGAGGTATCGGTATCTTCATGAGATATTTCTACATTATGAATATGCCCTTGAACAACCAAAAGGCAAGGAATCTAATAGAGCTGCAAAACTTGTCATTCCCAACCAGCTCTGCAGATTGGACACCGGGTGGATCCGTTGATCTCCCAAAAAGAGGACCCGTTTTTCGGCAGGAAGTGCCCAAGAAAAAAGCCTGGGCCTAGTGTATATACATGTCCGGCTGGTCAAAATGACCCTGCACGCATACAACGCATGGTTGGATGATGTTGGAGGCTGCAAGCACCCTAAGCACCCTGAGATCCTTTGAATTCTTGCTATTTACTCATTTGTCTTCTGGTGACCTCTCAAAGTTTTCCAGCGGAGCTAGGATAGACAGACCTTGGGAAGTGGGAAGCCTCTCATTGAAGTAGCTGTTTGACTTGTCAAACCAGGAAGCTCCAGGTGTTTACATTCTTGTGCTACTTGCCTCAGGGCACTGGAATCATGCAAAGCGGGATGA